ATAGCATGTGCCTCCTCAATCCTGTTGGATGCATCAGAATTAATCTCTTGGTGCCCTTCTGACTTAACAGAGCTCAAGACCTGCTTTGCAACGTATTTCAAGAGTGGCAGTTTATTGTTGTAGGAGTAGTCGTGAGGTAGAGAAACCCATGCACGACAAGGAAAATGGTCCACAATGACTCCGTGGTTATAAATTTTCTTTGCCAGTGTTGTCTTGCCTATGCCCTCAATCCCCACTATGGAAACAAAAGAGCAGTGTTCATTGTTGGTTCTCAGTCTTGACACCACTGCATCTATGTCTTCTTCCAAACCGACCACTGAGCTTAAGTCTTCCCTTGATTCAATACTGAATGCTTTTATGCATCTCAAGAAAAGATTGATAGTCTGATTAATCTGGTTGATTTCAAGGGAAAGCTTTCTTCCAGAATTCTTAAGCTTTTTCTCATCTCTGTCTTCTTCTAAACCTGAATTCATCTTCATAAAGGTTACCACAGATTCATCTGCACTTTGAACAATTTTCCTCACTTGCTCCAACCAAGCGACTCTGGAATTATATCTCCTTCCAATCATTCCTGCACCGCCTACAAGTTTATGCATGATTTCCAGTTCATTGCAAAGCAATTTGACATCAAAAAATACTTCACGGAATACATTTGGCTTCTCTTTGAGGTAGTTGCGCATCCTGTCTATTACAGATGAAACACTATTCTCATCTGCGGTCTGATCTGGGGATTGATAGACAATCTTTGATGAATTAGAAATTCTTCTTATAAATTTGAAGCCGTACCTGTCCTTCCTTTCTAAAGCTTGTGTGAACCCTACGTTGATGCACCTTAGGTCCCCCTCGAGCTTTCTCCTTGCCCTCCAACTGCTGATATATGATAGCCACCTAAATCTATTGGATGGTGTCTGTAAGAAGTTTTCAATGGCAGGATGTGCTTCATCAATGATCTCTTCCACTTCCTCCACCCAGGCCTTCTCAATTGCGCTCTCAAATTCGTTAATTCCTTGTATATCTTTCAGAAAAGGATGTAGCAGCTGCAATTGCAGATTTGTTGACTGTAGTTGCTCTCCAGTTCTACTCCTGTCTGGCATTAAATCTGGGTTTTGAATGAGTAGAGTATTTATTTTCTCTACAGTAGAGAAAGCCAATGCAGCTGCAGATTCAACTCGTTCTCCGGAGTTTACCCATCTTTTTTCATGTTCATCAAAAGGTCTTTCCAGCAGCCTTCTAGCATTAGACTTTAATCTATCCAGGGATTCACATATGTTAATCCCACTTTCCTTCTTCATCACAATGCTGCTTTTTATTTCCTCCTTTACCTGCTTAGTTATACTAAAAAGCTTATCTGTCTGCTCGAAATTCTTTGTAGTCATCCCAAAAAATATTCCAAGTCTATGGGAGTCTCGTCTCTTTTCCTCAAACGTTTTAACCAAACCTTGTGCTTTTTTTACAATGGATGCAATTTTGTCCACCCATTTTGCCTCAATTTCATCTAGTCCAGCCACAGTTACGGTTTTGTCCACCAGTTGTACCTCAGTTTCCTCTGGTCCAGGAACGGTTCCTTTACTAGGGAAAATAGAGTCCCAGATTTGATGTGCCCTGGCATCTATCTTAAAGCATAAACGCTTAACTTCTTCTGCATCCTCCGAAGTAGCACTTAGTAACCGTGACTCTTTTCGAATCCATTTGATGTCTTCCTCCAAGAACAGAAACGGAAAGTGGTTGATATACAAGTAGAGGAACAATAGGGTGATTAGAGAGGCACACAAGGGCACCCATATGAGCACATAATTGTTTGCAAGCGTCGAAATCAGTAGCACCCGATACAGGGATGTATGGTTTACATAAAGCAGTATAAGGTCTACAACAACTAAGATATAAACATGAGCATCATGGAGAATGGAATCATGGAATGCCAGCTTGGTTGTTGTTACCTCCTTCTGGTTGGCAAAATTATCCAGACTTCTATCAAAATGATAACGATAAATACTATATTTTTCCAGTTCTTCAGCATTGGAAGCAGTCCACTCCTGATCAGCATCGGAAGCCGTCCACTCCTGATCAGCATCATCTATCTCTATACACTGTCCCATAGCTTTCCAATCCGTCTCCGTTGTTGAGGATCCCAATGGCTGAGCACCAGGTATTCCTGCAATGAACCATTCTGTGATCGTTTCCATGGCTGAGCAGCTTTGATGTATCAGAAACAAGTTCCCCAATTTACAGTAGGTTCAACATTGAGCATTATCAATTGAAGTTGAAGAACAAGTGCATGTTATCGCTCTGGACCTCTGGCAAAACTAAAATCAAATATGGTGGACTCCAGATGGGGACATGCATCAGTCCATTTCATCTGCACAGTTTTTCTTGTTTCTTGTTTCTTTTCATCTCTAATCTTTATAATGGTGGCTTTTCTTGGGGTCCCCCCATTCATCTTGTCCCTAGCTCTTGGTTTAAAGATGACTCTGGTGGATTGTCCATTCATGTCATCCTTGGGTCAGGTCAAAAGCATTGCATTTATATTAGGAAAATAATTCCCTCCTTCCCTATAAGTATGAACTCCTGCATTCCTACGAATGGCAGTAGTAGGAACTCCTATATTGTATATGTATATGTATATGTATATGTAATGTATGCATACAATATGTATTTCATATGTACATCCGGATTACGTTACGATTAACTGCAGTACGGTTTGTAATTTTGCTGGTTGACTGACTCCCATGTGTATATTCACAGTCCCATTACTACCTTGTACCTACCATACCTACCATACCTACCAATTTGAGTAGTGTTCTTATAGCCATTACTTTGTTGCTTTTTGACAAAGTCACAAGGAAAAGAAAAGATTGAGCCCTCCAACCCCACTGCATTATTGCACTTTTGTTCTTTTCCATTGCATTATTACAAGATTTTGGGTGCGCTCTGATATTTTATTTAGTTCTTTTACCCTTTTTACTCTGTTTCTAGGCACCTAGCAAGCAGAGTGCAAGCTCGTTTAGTTTGAGAAATAAGCTTCATCTGACTCTCCGTTATCACTGCCGCCGTGCTTGAAACTTTAACATGCACAAGCCACAGGTCCTGCTATACTTCTCTTCCGCCTTTGAAATCCTTAAAAAGAGAGATGTCATGTGTTCATGTGAGATAAGTAGTTCGTGTCAGCACCATGAAGAGTAACTTCATGCAATGTGAACAACAAAACTATCACGATGCACCTAGTTTCATGCAGAGAATCAGAATTCCTAAAGATCATAATAATGCAGTTCAGTCCAAAACAAGAAATAATAAAAAGATAAATACAGACCACACTCTCCTAAATAAAATATTAAAACTTGCGTGCATCATTTGTTTACTGCACAACCAGCTTTGCCCTTTTATGGCCCTCTGAAATTTGGAACTGTTCAGTCAAACCAAGATGTGCCATAAGCAGCCAAACATGAGTGAGCAGCTCACCTCCTCGCCTGAGCTGTTGAGCATGATCACTCCATCGACACCGATTGGCTGCGTAAGAGAGCATTTCCACCCACACTTGACTTACCAACTCCCACTTTTTCTCATTAGTCCCCCAATGTCCCTCAACCTCCATGGACTGCAAAGCTTTAGCTAGCCTGCATGCATCAAATAGAACCGACTTGCTTCGATCTCCTTTCACTTCAGATGGAGAGATGTCTGTGCTCACTTTAAGTAGCATTGTACAAGCTTTTTCCTCGTCAGTTATGGATTTTCTTTCTGTGAAAAAGTCCTCAGCCTCAGCACATGTGTCTTGAAACCTTATCTGCCCAATCCCATTTGGCAGCATGAAGGGGCACATGACTAAAAGGTACAACATGTAGTTCGACAACTGCTTGCTGTTTTTACAATTTTGGTTAGGTACAACGTTCGAGTTTCTCTTCACATCAAAATTATAACAAAGATCTGTTGCAATATGCCAGAGAAGGATGCTTTGTTCAAATTCAACCCCCAAAATGGTCCAGCCAAGTCTAACTAGACACTTTGCATCTCGAAGCACCTGGGCACCCCTACGAGCACATAATTGCTTGCAAGCATCAAAATTAGAAGCACTCTTTGATTTCTCTTTGAGCTGCGTAAATATCAAATTCTTCAACTCTTCGGAAACATCCTCCGAGTCTTGGTATCGATACTTCTCTAACAACTTATTTATGAATAAGTCCTTCTCAACAAAAATGCACTTGGCTGGCCTATTTTTGAGACAAAATGTTATTAGGTTGTATTGTCCCAATTTATTAGACCACCTATTGTTTTTAACCAATGGGATTGATGAAACGGCTGTATGGAAGAGCTTCAACACCCCATTTTTGTGCTTATTCAGCTGTAGCGTTGTCCAGTCTGAGGAAAGTAGCATGACCACAGCATACAGTTCCAGGATTATAGCTCCTACCAACAATACATATGTGATAGCTACATCCTCTCCCGTGTACGCATGCTTCTCTTTGAACAAGAAGGCCAGGAATACTGAAACTGTGAGAGAAAGGCTGATACAACGGAGAATACCACCGAGACGAGAATGAACTAGGACAGCTCTAGTATAAAACACATCATACATGAATCCTAGCTCAATCTCAATGACTTTGAAAGCTTGCTCGGAGTTTCTATTTTGGAAGAATGTTTGGCTTTTCTCTATATTGTGGAAGCTGAGGATGAGATCAGCACATAGCCGCTTGAAAATTTCAAAGAAACTATAGGCTTTGTTTAAAATTACAGCATTTTGGATACTGTCATCAAGTATTCCTCTGGCATCGTTGGAATTATTCTCAGCTTTGGGAGCTTCAATGGGTGGTCCTAGTTCAACCTTGAATCCCTCAGCTTTCTTAGAGCTGTATTCTTCCATGTATCTAGCATAATTGGGACCAGGGTCAGGATGAGGAAGCATGGACTCTCTAAAATGCTCACTACTTGCAGACCTTAGAACCCAAGTCCTCTCCCCAAACTTTATAATCCCAACTATGAACATTGGTATTGCCAAAAAATTCAGCACCTTATTGGACCATGCTCTTAAGAAGACATAGAAAGCTACAAGCACCTGGACAGCTACCCCAAGCAAGTGCCTCAACCACAATTCGTTGTCTTCTAAGGAGTAAGCAGTAATTGTATCTGGGCCACCAAGATGCAAGAGAAGAAATGGTGCCCAAAATGCTGTTATTATATAGTCTGGATTGACAGAATCACCTGGAGAGTCTTCTTGGTTGTTGGAGAGTATGCCAAGTGAGACTGTTGCAACTGAGTCTGCTGACAAGTAAGCAAGCCACAGAACAATTCTGAGTATGTTACTAGTTGAGTGCTTTCTCCAGCTGCCAATGAGGATGAGGATGGCCTGCAAGCTGAGGCTGATCAAAACCATAGCCCAAAGCTCCCACTTGTTCCAGATTTTTCTCACACTTTCCGGGAAAATCTGCATTGCCATCCTCTTCTCTGTGAAGATCAAACTGCTGACAACTAGAAAGAAATGTTTTTACACAACATCAGATTGTATCAGAATAAGTTTGCTTAACACATTCATTGTATGTATAAAAGTAACATAATCTTACCTGTGAGGAACATGATTAATCTGTTTTTACAAGATTTGAAAGGCAGTGTACTTAAATTTTGTAATGATGCAGGGGAGGCGGAGGATGCTTTCCTCTGCTTTTTGTTTTTCTTATTTTCAAACAGTAAGAGTGAAGATAATAATCCAAAGTCATCCAATATAATTGACAAGTCGTGGTCAGTCAATGCCCTACCAATATGGCCCATTTCCATTTGGGCAATGAGAATACTCTAGATAAGGAAGAAAAAGAAAAGTAAAGAAACAAAAATGGATAAATTATTATTTTAGCTCATGTGTCCATTTGGGTGCAAACATGAGAAAGGAATGGTGGGTTTCTCATTCCCACAGATGTCTAAACTAGATCTCAGAAAATAGGGATTTTGCATTCCCAAAGGAGGAGGTGCATTTTCTCATTCCAATGATTGGTTTCAAATGTTGTGGTCTCATATGTAATTTTGACTCCATACCTAAACCCATTATGGCTGCAGCTTACTCAATTTGAAAAGTCCACACAGACAGTTGCATTTATCTCTTTTCTTCAGATGATAAATGTTACATATTGCAGGACCTCTAAGATACAGGAAAACCCATTTCATGATAACTTAAAATACATGGCAGTTGAATGATTGTATTTGTGGGAGCAAAATCCAAATGACCTCTCTGCTTTTAAGCCTAGCAAGTGAGATAGACTGAAACCCAAGATCCCTTTCAGTTTGTATATCTGGGTGTCAACCTGAACATGTTGAACACTAATTGTTTTAACTTCATGAATATATTTTACTTCTTGTACAACTTTGGATCCCGAAATTTCATGACTGGCAGAAATTTTGTTCACCAAATGAAGTGACACCATGTTATATATTCGAATCTAAGCTCACTCTTAACTTGATTTACTTTTAACGAGTAAGATATTGACATGTATACGGGTGCATCATTCGACAATAAAGTAAGATGATTTGTGTATAAACAAAAAATTTTGCGTGAAGCTCAACAGAGGTGGAAATAAAGTAAGGCTGCTTGCCTGCTTCCGAGTCCGACCCTAGTTTTAGGGGTGTTTTTTTGTTGTCATTACTAATTAGTGCTTCTTTATGAGTTTGAAAATGAATCATTCTTGCATGGAGATAGACAATTGTAGTTTAATAACCATGCAGAGCTAAATATAACATATGTACAAAGAACCAGTTCAGATTTGTTTGCCGTGATTTTATTTTGGCGATGGAAATAGAACACTAGTATTACTTTTGTTGCTTTTTAACTTTATGAATGGATACAAGACCAAAAATACATATTGAACTAAATAAATGCTTAATTATAGACGCAGAGCAAAAGTACAATCTTACAATCTTACAAGGAAGAAAAACTTCAATTAACAAATCAGCAAGGCTTAGCCAGTGCCACCAAGAACACCCTTAAGCTTCTTGATCTGAGCAAGGTCAAGGAAAGTGGTCTGCCCCACCAATGCAGAAGGCAAGTTGTTAGCAAAGAGGGCAAAGTCAAGGATTTGGAGACCAGGGCTTGCACTGCTGAAGCTAACAAAAGCACTGGAGTGTATTTTAGCAGCATTCACTTGAAAATGCAGCAACCCTTGAGGGAAAACCATGACATCTCCCTTCTTAAGAGTCTCCAAGTACACAGTGCTGGCTGAGGAAACAAAGCCTGCTGTGATGTGGCCTCTTGTCACAACCAGAATTTCTGAAGCACCAGGGTGAGTGTGGAATGGGATGACGCCACCTGGCGCTAAGTCTAGCCTTGCCATAGAGAGGCCAAGCCCATTGACACCAGGAAACTGAGCCACAAATGCAGGGGTCACAGCAGCTTGGATTATGTTGGTGGTGTTTCCACCTTTGGCCAGGCCAGAGAACACAAAGTCACTGACAGTGACATTAGCAGGGCTCTTGCAAGGGTAGCCTGCAGGGCCGTCTGGGCCTTTCAAGTCTGCCACACAAAAGTCTTGGACGGAAGCATGAGAAGAGGAGGAGAAGAAAATGAGAAAGAATAGGACGAGAATGTAGTACTGAGGCATTTTCACAAATGGGTTGTGGGCAAAAGTGAGTGTGAGGCATCTTGGATGGCTTGGTTAGGGTTTATATACAAAATTGTAGATGAACTGATTGGTGCAAGTAGACAACATGCCATGCAGGACACAATTGACCCATGGAGAAAACAGAGCCATATCTTTGCTGGGCTGAAGCTAAACTTATTGCATTGGACATAAAACAGGATGTCACTTTTGGTAGTTAGTAGTGGTAAAGTGACTTATAAAGCAAGCATTCAATCTTCCACTCTGTCAAACAACTTGCATGCACAACCAAACAATGGATAATAGGGCACTGGATATCTATAACAAAAAGAATTGTTTGAGAATGCTAAAATATTAACAATGAAAGCAACCTACATTCATGTCCATTCACCAAAAAAAGATTGCATAATATATAATTATCAGACCAAGATTCCTTGATTGATCACGTTCACATATCAACAGCCAAGATGAAACAAAGATTTCATTATCAATTTGAAGGTTTAGTTGAGGAAATTTCAGTGGGCTAAACTAAATTTAGCATGCATAATGCATTAGTATTTAGTAGTAGAGTGGAAGACGGTGGTGAGGAACTTAGCTGTTTGTGGTCCAAATTTCCAATAGCACATGGGAAGTGAGAAGGAAAGTGCATAAGCAGCCAGTCTGACAGCTAAAACCTTCAAGGGTGTACCTACGCTACAATTCTTTCTTGGGTGTGTCCTTCAAATTGCAACAATGGATTTCATGTGTGGACTATAGTCATTCCCTCTAGCTAAGATTTCATGGAATAGCTAAAGCATGAATCTGAAAGTTAGAAGCTGAGAAATTGACAAGGTCAAAATGAAAAAGTGTAGAACTCCTAGGAAAATCAGAGGAGTTTTACATGGAAGGTGGACGAAATAGTTGGAACGTACATAGAAATTAAGGAGCAATTTTAGTTTTTAATACAAGCGATTAATCTAAATTACAAAAAGAAAGGGGAATTTTCACAACAAGGATTCGAAGATAAGACCACTGTGTAAATAGCATGGTGTTGCCATATTCAATTACTTGATATTTATTGAAAATAAATGCAAATATTTGGTCGAAGACTATCCCAAACAACAGCCCAATATTGCAAAGAAACAAAGCCCAAAAAACAATTAAACCAGACCAAAACAGAAGGAACCAAAAATCCTGTATGAATTTTTCTCCTCCCTTTCCCTTTGACTAATAAGAACAAACAATATACCTGCTACCAGCAGTTCCATGTTGGTGGGTAATTTAGAAAATGTTCTGTATAATTCCATATTGGGGGCAGGGGAGATAATAGTCCCTTGCGTCAGTTCAACCGGCTTTAGATCGCAGGTTTTCCATGACTCTAGATGTGGAAGTAGCCTTGCTAGCAACCTTCTCTCCAACCTTCTTTTTTGGACCTTTTCTCTTCTTCTCATGACAAGTGCCAATTTCTTTACACTTAAAACAATGTCATTAATACATCATACAAACTAGTTTTTGTTTTCCAAGTTTACCCTTATTAAATGTATTAATTTTTTTTTAATAACAAGCTAATTTTTTTTTACAACTTTCTTACCACCTTGTTAAAAAAATAAAATAAGAAAATAAAAACTAATTTTTTTTTTTTGCAAAGAGAACGTGTGTTTTGTTAAAAACAAAATAAAGATGATAACAACATCTTGAAACAAACTTTATTTTTAAAGAAAAAAAAATGACGTTTTTTTAATTATATAAATTTATTATAATGTGCTAAAGAAGTGAAACAAAATTTGAATAAATTGAAGGAAATATAAAAGCTAATATATTTTAAAAGGGTAAACTTGGAAAACAAAAACTAACTTGTGTGATGCATTAATGACATTGTTTTAAGTGTAAGGAAAATGACACTTGTCATGAGAAGAAGGGAGAAGGTCCAAAAGAGAAGGTTAGAGAGAAGATTGCTAGCATTCCTCTTTATATAAAGTTACTTTTTTTGATGAACTTTGTATAAAGTTGATGCTATCAGACTTCAGCAAAACATCTGCCAATCTATTTGGTGTTGATTTTGTGCTTTATCTAAAACTACGTGGTTTTCAACTTTTATTCTTCCAATATAATATCTAAATCTCAAATCTCAAATCTCAAAACTACAAAATAATAATAATAATAATAATAATAAATACTTGCTTAAAACCAAATTCACGTTATTTTAACATATAACTTCAAATTCAAAGGAGAAAATTTTAGTAAAGAACTCATTAGTGATTAAACTTTCAAGAAAAGTCCTGTATTTAAATCCTAGCATTCATATATGTATATACGTGGTGTATGCGAGTTTTGAAAAAATAATCAAAGAATAGTATCTCAATTCGTTTATGGCTGGCAGGAGGCAGGAGGCAGGAGACTTTTAGGAAAGGCTGTGGGAAGCTCTGAGAAGTTGCATTATTTTGATACCTTTACCTTAATTTGTTTTCTAAATCAGAACCTTTCTGAATGGAAAAAAGAAAAAAGAAAAAAGCAAGCCTGAAAGGGTCTTTGGATTTATTGGCTTAGAAATTATGGGAATTTCCTTTTAAATGCAGGGCTGCAGTGGAATATGTCAGGCCACACCATACTTACTCAGAGCAAACCAATGCAGAAAGATCAGTCCATCAGTCCATCAGTCCATCAGTCATATCATATTACCAGTATGCAACCCTCTCTCCTAAACTAAACCCATTTGTCAAATTCAAGTATTTTCTCTTCAGCAAATTAACTCCAAACAACAGTTTGAGACAAAGGGCTCAGATATTTTAATCTGAATGATAAGATATTAAGATGAACAATCCACCACCAGTGCCAAAAAAAAAAAACATTTAAACCTATGTACCTGCTATATAACTTCTTCAACTAACCCTACCTCTTTTTTCTCTCGAATCTCTCCCCAAAAGGAGAAAGAAGTTATGGTCTTCTATCCTATACTTTGTGTTTATTTATTTGGGTTGTTAATCCCACAATAAATTGGGGTTGATAAACATAAATAATCCAAAGTTTGGTCCACTGGTTGTTCCAACTTCCAACATTGCAATTTTGCCGCAGCAGCAACAACTTGAAATTCAATTAGAAAGGCATTAAAGAAGGCAGTGGAGGAAATTGGTGCTGAAGAAAACAAATGTGACATATTATTTATGAAAAATATGAAGAAAGTTGATCAACTATTATGAAAAAAATGAA